TTAGTTAGCATGTAAACTTGATATGTGATTCTAATAATCAAGAATTTAATTTTTATGAGTGGTTATGAGCAGTTATGAGCAGTTATGAGTGCCTATAGGCTTTATAAAGTGGATAAAATTTAGTAAGAACAATTTGATGATCGTGAACATCAATATTGGTGATTGGTGTGTTTTAGTTTCTCACCACTGCGGGAGTACTCGGCGCTGTAAGCAGTACATCAGTGCTGTTCGCTCATGTCGTGCCTATGGTCCTGAGGGGGTCAGAGAACAAAGACGCAATATTTGATATCCCATCCAAACACTAAAACTACTTATTCAATGGAATAGATAGACCAAATTTCAACACTTATCCAGCGCTGAATTTACGATTCGCTAAAGAATTCATTAATTATTCCATTTTTTCATCCAACTTTTATTTGCATGGCTTACAATGTTCATCGCTTATTCGTTGGCACGGATTCGTGCGAATTGAATCGAAATTTTCAGAATTAATGAAGCACGGAAAGTGAGGCGGGAGGATGATGGAGAGCGAGGATGAGAGAGTGTGCGAGTGAAACGAAAAACTGAAGGCAACGTGCTTCACTTAACCATGTGGATTGAAATTCGGGCCACACACACACACACTCTCACATACTCACATACAATGACATCAGCATCTGATTGTTTAATTTGATTCGACTTGGTGGAATCAGCTCAATACATTTCATACAATCAAATTTTAGTTCGGCTATCACATTCTGTCTCTCTAATTATACGAGCTCAATTTATACAATCACACACACATACATATGCGCGAAAAATTTCCTTCTTATCGATTCACTCGGTCTAGCTGTTCCTCTTTCGCTCTGTATGCATATAATAATCGTTGTGTTACAGCCGCATTTATCAAAAACACTGACCTAAACTAAGCTGAACAATAATGATTATGGCATAAGATTTATGTAACGACCTTTTGGGCACAATTTTTGTTTATCTTACGAGAAACTGCTTGTTTGATGTCTGTGCCTTTGAAGTTTTTCCATTGCCCTGATAAGGCAAACATGGAAATCTTCCGCCTACAAAACAATCTTTTTTTTTCACTCCGAGAAAATAAAAATAAAAAACTCACACACATAGAAAAAACAAACTATGGCATAATTGCTTTCGGAGAATGTTTTGTAACTATATAGACACACAAAGTATGGCTTGAAGTAAAGTAACTTTTTTTCTATTCGGAGAAACAAAAGAATAAAGTTTAAATAAAATGGATTGTAACATTTTGACTGTATACCAGCGACTGAATGCCATGTAAACGAACAAACCATTTGAGCCATATCAATATTGGTCATTACTTAGACACAAAAAGCTTATTATAAAACGACATGGGTTTCCTGTGCGCAACATTTGTTTTTTTTTTCAAATGTAACATTCGATGGACTTGGTAAAGCAATGTGGAAAGAAAGAAAATGTTGTATAAGACCCATATCAAATTGATGTCACTGATATCGTTTACCCAGATACAGGCAGCGAATTCGTAATAAATGATAATCATTTTTATCGAAATTTCATTGCAATATCAATCAAACGATATCGACAGCGTAATAATCATGGTCCAGATCTTTGTGAAAAACAATGGATTTCTGAAAAATCGACATTTTTTGTGTAATTTCATTTTTTTCCTGCGTGTTTAGCAAGCAAAATCAGCGAATTTTGATTTCAAATTCGACGTCATAGTACAATTTACTACTCAGACCATGTACCATGGAGAAAGTGATTTAAAAAAAGCGGATAGCCAAAAAAAAAAGTGAGATAATTCACGTTCTATATGGCATAGAGATAAAATGTGCAGCGGAAAATGGTCACTTGAAAGAATGAAAGTTATCTCATTCATGCAGACGAAAACAATGGATTTAAAGTTGACTCTTTTTCTCTCGCTGTATATATATCGCTCGATTAAATGGTTGGTCATTTTCCGTGACAATTGGACCATTTGCACGTATCGCCATAATATCTTATGCACGAGAAATTTATAACGATTCAAGCGAAATGCGCACGTTATTATTGTAAACTTATTATAATACATTTCTCGAGAAATTGTTTCCTCATGCCTCGGCAATTATTGTGTAAGTTTTCGGTGATACAATCGGATTTTCAACCGACTCAAATGCAACTCGCGAAGGACGAAGGGAAAGAGTGGATGTAATACATAGAGGGATTGAGGGAGATAGAGAGAGAGAGAGAGAGAGAGCCGCAAAGATATGGAAAGAATGAAAAAGCGGATAAATGATTTATACGTGGTTTCATTTTGTATGATTTAGATTGAAAGTTTGAAATTTGATATTGGCATACACATCATGTTCAGAATCAATCAAGTTCAATCACAATTCTGGGGTGTATGTAAAAGCAACCAAACGAGAAACAATAAATCAGTTAGAAAGAATGAGCTCTCGCGCGCGCTTTCTCTCTCTCTCTCTCTCTCTCTCTCTCTCTCTCTCTTTCGTGCGCTACTCATACAACCTATGAACTGTGCTCATTGTACTGTTGTTCTGCACTGACATTGTGAAAATTGTACAGCTAAATGAATGGGATGGGATGAAATGGAATGGTGTGCACTTCAAGCGTCAGCTACATTTTCAAGAGTGTATTCAAATTGGAGGCTTAAAGAAAATTTCTTTTCTAACTGAATTTTCCACGAATATTTTTCGGTTGTTATAGTATAGGAAGTACAATGACAGATATGCGCATAGTTCACAATCTTTCCGATCTTTGTCATATATGAAAAAAGAGCAGAGAGAGAGAGAGAGAAATAGAAAAAGGCGAGCTTACGATGCCACAACCATTCGCTCGAATTTGATGGATAAATTTGGTGGAAACGCATTAAAACTCGGTGAACGAGGACGAGAGAGAAACTCATCGAGGGAGCAAGTAAGCGCAGAGATACAAAGAGTAACATTCTGTATGGTTGTTTTAATGAAGCATGTGTGTGTTTTGCGTTGATACGTGATGAAACATTTTAGTTTACCTTTGTATTTTAGCGTTCACCGAAGAAAAACGCGCGAACGAATGAACGAACGGGACACACAAAGGACAAAGGCAACGAAATAGAGACACCGAAAGAATGAAAAATAATTACGGAGTGGTTCGATATTGAATAGAGCTTGAATGGAGACAATTTTTCTGCATGGAATGAGTTGCTCATTTTATCATATCATCTTGGCATCAGTGTGACAAAAATCACTTAGCGTTCGAACAGTTAGGATTTATGGCGATTTGATATCGCTCGATGATCTTTGTCATAAACATAGAAATATGGATGAATGTCATCGTCGTCGTCGTTGCCGTCTCCGTTGTCGTCGTCGTCGTCGTCGTAGTCGTGGATTTGCTATCAAAATACACGCCTAATTAATCCGATTGAATGGCTTTAAATTCGATCTGTGCGCATAAAAATGGCAATATTTTTTTCTGCTCCCTCTAAATCCATATCCCACAGCCGCCATTCGTCATGTAATTCGGTTATAGTCGTATACAAATGTATTTTATGAAGTATCCCCTTGAATAAGCATACAGCAAGCTGACGACAACGACAATGACGACGACAATAACATCGACAGAGAATTCGAGAGAGTGTGAGAAAGAGGCAGAGCGAGAAAAAAAAACAACCCAATGAAATCAAGAAGACCAACAAAAATTTGCGTATATATTTATATATTGTGAATAAGTGATAGATAGAGTAGCAGATTTACCATGATGATGTAAATTGGATGGCGTTTGCGGGGCAGCTTTTGAACACATTGAAAACATGTTTGACTGCGATCAAAGACCCAACACTCACAGCTAGCGCGGTTGGAATGAAAATCGACACAATTTCACGTTGTTTTTTTTCTCTCTATTTCTTCTCGTATATATTCGTTTATTTTTTTTTTTTTGTTGCTATCCACAAACGCGCACACCACGAACCAAACAACTTTTCAACTTTTGTTCATACGACTCTTCAATAAACAAGGGTTATCATTGATTGTTTCACACAACAGCTACGGCGTGCTCTTTTTTATTGTGTGAAAGGCGTTTTTTGTGCATTATATTTTCACTTCTCTGCTTACTGTATGCTGTATATAAATACAATTTTTTTTTCCTTCGTCTTCTATTTTGCACTTGTCATCGTAGTCGGCGCCGTCGTACACTTCTTATTGGCAATTCTTTACAGCGGTGCTTTTGCTTATTTTTATGTTCATTTTCATATTTTTTTCCCCTTCTTCTCTTTTGTCGTCTTCCTGTTTTTTATCCCAGTGTCTCAGTCTCGTCTCTGTGCAAGATTTATGTTTTCTTTAAGCTTTCATTATTAAGTACTTGATGCATTTATTAAATTGCAGGTAAATAGGGTTATCTTTGGAATATTTCAGTGAAAATAAGCTCACACGTGCTAGTATTTATGTAAAACAGGCGATGACAAAATCGAACCGAATGCCAGCTACTTGACTGAAACAGCGCTGGGTACGTTGTGTACCTCTGGCTACAGCTTCTGGTTTATGAATAACGATAGCGCGTGTCGATTTTACTTGCAGAGCACCGATTAATATTATATTATGCTTATCTTTATTATTTTTTTCGCTTAAAATGCTCTCGAGTGGTGATTTTTGTCCAAATTCAATCGTTTACTCTCGTTTTGCCAATTTTCGAACATTTGCAATTGCCTGGAACGATGAAATAACCGAAGTTTTTGTTGTTTGTTCTTTTTTTAATTATTATTCATTCACAAGCAATTTTCAATGATAATTATAAATATTGCGCGCATTTTACACTGATTATACTCTTTGTTTCATTGGCTCTCTCATTGCGTTGAGAAAAAAAACACACACACACACAAAATCGCTGTTGATCGAAATGAACTCGAGATTTCAATTGGTCGTGCAATATTCTCTTCATGCATTTAAATCGTGAAGTTTGTTCATTGAATGCAACCGTGTTTGTTTGCTTGTTTCTTCATCTATCTTCTTATCAAATAAAACTGTTCGGCGAGTGTTTTTTAACGTTTTTTTTTCTATAGAAATGAAATTATTGTGTTTGTGCTGAGAATCGAGTTTCTCAACTGGTACAAAAAGATTGTTTTCCTTTTTTCATTTAGAACAACACAAAAATAACACAACAACAAAAGTGGTGAAGATAAAGATGAAGAATATTGCCGCTTCGGTTTTTTTTCTGCGTTGTTGCAAAAATGCAATAAAAAGGCAAAAAGTAATGAAATTACAAGTTGTGTGTGTGTGTTGCGATATTTTTGCCGCAAAGTTTTTATGTTGGCTTGTTTATTTGAAATGACTGAGGGGATAACAAACACACGATGTGCATTTAATTAATGTCACAACAGCAGAGCCAAGCTTCAACACTTTGCGACGACGGTTCAAGCAATACTGAATGGTTGCTGCTCGATATGATACGAATGCTGTGCTGATACACAATCTCAATTCCTCTTGCTCTCGGTTGCCGTTGCCTTACAAGCATCGAATCAAAATAAAGCGTCCGTCCTTTTTCTGGATACTGTGTTGATACGGGGGTCCATTTTTCCAGCTTTTCTTCTTTCACTGTGTGTGCACCATGCAAACGCTTTCCGTTTCATCCAAACAACAACAACAACAACAAAAACAACAGCAGCAGCAATAGCAGCAGCAGCGACACACGTTCTCCGATTCATTGATGCGAAATTCATGCCATTTTCGTGTCAACGGCTATGTATATGTCGGTCTGTATGCATGTATTTTCGTTCTTTTACATGCAAAACTCAAAGATCTTTTCCTCACAACACAAATCATCCTACGGTTGTGGTCGTTCTTTTTCGCATATATATACGGCGTACAGCGTGTCATAGCACACAGCACATGACAATCCATATAAGCACATCCACACCCCTAAAGTTGTCAATTGACAACGAGCGCGGATACAATGTCCTCGTCAGTGATTGTTTTCCATTTGGTATGGCCTATATTCCAGCCGCCGATGCTTTTAAGCTCAAAAGCTAATCGACCAAAGCTTTGGCTGTGCTTTATAAAAAGCAACTAATGCACCGTTTTGTGGAAAACGGGCTTTTTTGCATGAGCTTATTTTTTGTAAAAGGATATGTTCAACGATGGCGCCATCAAGCCTTTATCGAAATTGATATTTCATTTCGAAAAGTTTTCCGCTGCATTTTCGAATCAAGAACAAGTTTGATGGCGCTGCCGGTACAGAAGAAAAATGAATGTCTTCACGTATCGATAAAGACATATTCCATGCATACAAGAAAAAAACGCATCGACAATTTCGGTCGACGGCGGAGTGTTTATCGGTAATTATTTGTTCGTTCATCGAACGTGTTGCTTGATTTTAATTACTTTTCAAAACGAACGTGTCTGACGTACTCAAGATTAATGGGCCGATTTGCGCTCTTTTTCTCCAACCAAATTTTTGTGGTTAATTTTTTTTTTCACTTCATAATTTAATGAAACTATGGATGACCTGTCGGTCGCACGATGGCCACTTTAATGTTACCGCATGCTGTGTTATGCGTAATTCACGTCACGTGAATTCAAATGAACGAAGCGCGTTGAAGATGCATTTTTGCGTTTCTGCGTTGGACAAAGTACACCGAAAAAATAAAATACCAAATGCTGTCTACGTTAAAAAGCGTGAAATACACGCTTCACTAATTCAATTTTAATCGATATTATCGTCTGTGAGGCGTCTACAGTTGAGCTCGTAGACGAATATTTTCAGTGTTCAAGATTAGCTAACCAAGGTACAAGCGACGAAGAGGACGGACAAGAAGAACAAACATTCAGCGACGTGGTTAAATGTTGAGCATTAGGCTTTTCTTTCTTTTTCTTTTCGATGTACGCGGTACAGTTTGATGTATACTCCGGTGTGTATGCTACTATGAACTATGCTTGCAGCAGTGAAATCGCTCGTATCAGCGGTGTATAATCATACCGCCGACCAAGATTAACACGCCATCCGGATCGAAAAAAAGAAGAATCAGTACAACAAAAAAAGAGACACAGAGAGAGCGTTAGAGAGACGAAGAAGGAACATATGTTCCTATTCATTATGTATTATCTGTACCTATGTTGTGTAAGTCTAAAGTTTTGGCTGTGTCAGAGTGAGCGGAAAAAACGGAGACTTTTAACGGTTATTGGCACATGCACCCTGTCATGGTTTAGGCTGCAAATACGCCTTTCGTATGCAGTAGTTTGAGAGGCATGAGATACCGAGTGTGCGATTAACACTGGTGTGTCTCGAACTGCATTATATTCCATGTGTACCGTATAATGTGATCTTTGCCTCGACAACCTAATGCAGACGACAGTTGTAACTAAATACATATACACACCGCACCGAAAAACTGACGGATAAAACAAATGGTACACATGCAAATATCGATGAGGCGCTTGCAGTTTCAAACACATAACAACAACAACAACAACAACAACAAAATAAAATACGAAATGGAATAAAAACGAAGCGGGCAAGTTGGGCATGGGTGGATGGGACGAGAAAAACCAACTCAAAGCAAATACAAATACTGACCAAAATGGATTACATGCTCATTTATTTATATTGTACACGTCCGTTGTTGCGTGTTTTCATATGTATAATGATGGCATGGGCGACGACCGAAACGAATCGACGAATCGTTACAAAAAATGGAACTGGACAATTTTCTTTTCGAGAACCCGAAATATTCATAAACCATGAAAAACAATGCCCATCACAATCGTTATCAATTTGTGGAATAACCGAAATTAAGTTGACGCTTTTCAATCCTGTACGTTTGCCTGGTAGCAGTGATATTCGAAACAAATGGGTCAAAAGATGCAATCAAATAAATTTCAGCCCATAATTTCTGCGTCAAAATCTAAAGAAAATGTTTGGTAGTGACAACATGAAAATGCAATTAATACAAGATGAGAGAGTTAAACATGTTATTCACGAAATTAAATGTGTTTTTATGCACAAAAATAAGATTCAAAATTAGAAATCATTCAATGAAAATTCCCAAAAACAAAATTTGATTAAAAATGTATCGCTGAATGATTCGCTCAATTTGAGCGCAAAAAAAAATTATCTAATATTAGATAGATGAGCGGAGACAATCGTCGAGAGAATACGAAAATAAATCAAATAATTCAAAGTTGATAACATTTCGACCTCTACCGAAGTGATGGAGTGTGAGAGAAAGGAAGAGTAAAAAAAAACACACATCGCCGAACAACTTGGATCGGAGTATTCAGTTTGAGTGCCGAAAAATTTGTTCATTTCACGCGCACACACCATCCACAAATGAAGTTGTTTTCGTTGTCGCTGTCGCTGTCTTCTTCTTTTTTTTCGTTGTTGTTGTTCGATTTCGTATTCTGCCGTTCTGGAGAGAGAGAAAGTTTTCTTTGATTTTTCGACCGCTGTGATTGTATAGATGATGATTTTATCTTCTACAAAGCAGCAAAGATACACATTAGTAGCGTCGGAGAATAAAATTATCGTTATCACAGACATACAACTAACGGCAATCATCAATTACTTCGAACGAAAGAAAAAAGAGAGAAGAAAAATCAGCGAAGACAGCAACTCAAAAAGATTGCAAATATTCGGTAGGCTCTGTGTGTGCGCGCTTTCCACACATGTGTGGAATACTACGACTTATAAATAAAACATTGGTCGCTTTTCGCCCGTTTTGCATTGCCATTCCTACACAATGTGCCCCCGAAATAATGTGGCTTTTGCTTTGGTCGACGGTGAGTGAAGCACATACACAAACACTCAGTCACACGAACAAACACACACATGCTAGCGCACACACACCAGCGAACAACTCGTACAACGTACGTACAATACGATGGCAAAAGCGCGCGCGATATGGAGAGAGTGAGTGAAAAGTACATCATTCGGATCGATACGTGTATGCGCATTTTGAAGAATAGCGCTATACACTGTCGATTCTACTACGATAACGAAAAAAAGTAGTGAAGGAGTTTTTTTCGTTCCGTCGGTTGTGTCGTTCATGCGATGTTTCCCTTTTGATTCAGCACACATTGCACACAGGGTGAATCGTTTGACGGTGGCATCGTTGTGAGGTCGAATGCAGACGACTGTGCATGTATATATATGTGTGTGTGTGTGTATGTATATGTCGATGCTATGCTGTAAACAATCTCAACCGTAGTGGATTACAGCACGCAGTGTGTATTGTTGGATTTGTGCGCTGGTATGTGAACAACTCAATTTTCATGGGACCGTTTTTTTTCACTTCTTTTTGGCGATGGCATGAATGTGTAGCCTGTGCTTTGACGCCGGCGTAGAAAGCGCTTTCGCTACTCCATGGTCACTTACTTGAACGGTTTTTTTTATGTGACATAGCAGGCAAATATTGTTTGAATGAGTGCAGTTGAGTTCTATAGCCGATGCAGTACGGAACATCCAAAAATCATTTCATCATTTTCACCTAATATCAAAATGTGTTTGAATTGTTTTGGATTTGAAATATCGAGAGACATTCAAAAACCCGAACCGAACTGAAAAACCAAATCAAATAATCAACCAAACAAACAAAGAAAAATTACTCCGCCAAAAACCTATTCTGACATCAAGTAGTTTCCAAACGACGGGGAAAAAAAAGTAGAAAATTGTATCCCGTGACTTTTGTACGTTTTGAAATTTCGGTGTACATTTTCCCTCCTCCGTATGTGAAGTAGTGCGTATTTGTGAATGGCATTCCGACGACAAACGAACGAATGAAAGAATAAAGAAAAAAAGAGACAAAAAATTATATTCCCAACCTCCGCTCACATTTGGATGGAATATTTTGATTATTATTGAGTTTGTTGTCGCCTTCGTCAATAAAATTCAAAATACAAAACAACCAAATCGATAAATGTACGGAACGGGATAACGCAAAGAACCATACAAATATTCGAAAACGAAGACGAGAGAAAAATAAAAATAAAAAAATAATAAAGTAAATAGCAAACATGAAAGAATGTAAGAAGAGAAAATATCCGAATCGAGAAAACGAAGAAAAATCTCCCAAGGATTTTAGTGGATTTCGGTAGATTACGAGAACCAATAGAATTTTGGTGGTGGTGTGTGCGTCGTTTGTGTCTCTGCGTGTATGTGTCTGTGTCTGTGTGTGTGTATTAAAAAAAAACAAGTCTGTCGACATCGCGAAATAAGACGTCTTTGAGCGAATTTTGTTTTCTTGTTTGTGTATTTGTACATGCGTGCGAGTATGTTACATGACAACAACCACCGTGTGTTCGTATCGTAAATGTCATAAATAGCAATTTTATGTGGATCCGTATCACATATATACACTCTATCGAACAACACCGTACACAACAATCGAAAAAAAATAATAATTGTATTGAAACGAACGAACGAACAAACGAACGAACAAACGAAGGAACGAACGTTCGAACGGAATAAGCACAACAGAATCAGAAGACAACAGTAACAACAACAACAACAACAATAACAACAAAAAAAATCCAGTAGAATATTAAATAAATATCTGCACACAATTCTGTTTTTCTGCTGATAATGTTCGATGACGTGGTATATATATGTACACGAACGCATGAAATTCTAAAACCGATCAACGAGATGAAATCCGTTCAATACATTTGAAATTACAACCTTCGACATTTACAGTTGATGAAGGGAAATTTTAAAAATAAACATTTAAACATCGTAGAATAAAAAAAACAACAACAAACAAAAGAATCGACAAACGCGACAGAGAAATCAAGCAAACAAACGCGTTTTTTCTTGAGCTCAGTGTAATTGTTTGGCAAAATCATAAGAACGGATGCCATTGGAGAAAAATGGCACGACGAATGTGATTTGTGACATCAGTGTTCATTCGATCACTGACGAAAATCAAACACACACATACACACACACGACCATTAATTTGAACAATTTTTGAAATTGATAAAATTTAGATTGAACAAAGAAAAAATGACTACGAACCAGCAAATTATCAAACATTCCATACAATTGACTGTCGAACGTGCCACCATTTCACTGGCTATGCCTTACAATTATTAAGATACAAATGGAAAATTAAAGAAAAAAAAAGAAAGAAAATAGTGAGAAAAAAACACCAACGGCGGCACAAGGAACGAACAAGAAGCATCAAAAATACCAACAGACACAATCAACTCAATCAATTCCAATGATATATGGAAAGGGAAAAATGGCGCTCAAGTGCAACAATCTGATGGTGCAGACAAATCGACTCAACCATTCGGTGGACTCAAAGAACGGCAGTGATTGCAAAATGATTAATCGCAACAACAACAACAAACCAATCACACACAACAGCAACAACAATAATAGTCAAAATGTTACAAATAATCATAGTAAACAATTGATTAGTTCAAACAAGTGTCAAAAAACAATGTTGAATACCGTTTTACAATTAACGCATAATTGTCGATATGTAAACACAGCTGCCATTTTATTAATTACATTAAATATACTAGTATCGTTGAGTCCATGCAATGCCTTCCTATTGGATGGTTCACAAAATTCATTTGCCCAATTTCGCAAATGGTACACTGGTTTGAATGGTTCCTTAGAATTTGAATTCAAAACCGAACAGCCCAACGGCTTGGTATTGTACACCGATGACGGTGGCACATTCGATTTCTTCGAAATTAAATTGGTCGAGGGAGCGGTGCGGTTGCGATACAATCTTGGCGGCGGTGCAAATATCATCACTGTTGGCAGAGAGTTGCATGACGGGCACTGGCACAAAGTGCAGGTAGGTGGCATCAGCAGCATCCTTCCTCCTACATTATTATCATTTCAAGCCGTTTATATAATAATCACATCATCTTTCTTTTTCTGCATCGTATGCAAAATTCATTGAACACTAGAGTTCATAGTCATCACCACTTTTCTTCTTTTTTTTTCTTCTATTGAACAAATTTTACGCTGCCCCATTCAGGCATACTATGATATATCTATGAAACGACTCTTGCATTGAATCAAACCCCATAATTAAACCACTAATTTCTTTATATGCTTTTTCAGCAGCATTCAACTTGAGCATGTCGATCCATTGTTCGTATGTGTATGCGCGCGCCTCAAGAGCTCCCGGCATTTTCTATTCATTCGCATCGGCAAAATCCATTCTATAGCCAATAATTGCTTCATTTCAAACTAATATATAAATTGTGAAGAGAACGAGGCAGAGCGAAAAAATAAAATAAAAAGAGAAACGCATACACACGAATCAACTGGATACCCTTTGATATGCTAGGTTTTTGTGTGTGTGTGCAAATAAGATTAGCAAACCGAACACTTGGCTTTTATTCGATGCTCTCCATAAAATTTACTAAATGACTTTCATGCTGTGCAGTGGTTTGCCAACACTCAGCTTGAATAATGTGTCGCACACATACAAGGTGTCGTTGTGACCCATTCAACCAATTCTCTAGAATTCATTAGCATTGTCAGAAAACACTTGTTTTTCATTTTGCAAATGGAAAGAAAAAACATTTACGACTTTTTCCACTTGCATTTCATTCCACACGAAAAAGACACCGTGGCCGTCAAATGATGAATGTTGAATAAAGCGCTAATTTTCAATGCATCCAACTATAGTTTCATCTTCAAATTTGTAGGCGTTATTATTTGCTAAATTCTACTTTCTAATTGATTTACTCTCTCTTTTTATGTCTGTTTTCTTCTCTCTCTCTCTCTCTCCCCATTCTTCCATTTTAGATTCAACGAAACGACGAACATACAACACTAACCGTCGATGGTGTCTCACAAACACGAACGTCACGTGGAAAAGAGTTTCATTTTGGGAAATTCGCTACGAATTCAGATGTATTCGTAGGAGGAATGCCAAATTGGTGAGTAAATTGTATTGAATCCCATAATAAATTGACGCACATGATAAAAAAATGGCTGTAGAGAGAAAATGATGAAAAGAACGAGAATAAAATTGTGTTCCAAGTTGTTCAAAACGAATAAAATCACATTTCGGTATGGTTGATCGCTATAAAAACACTTCCTTTGAGGAGCACATATACACGTTATTTTTTTTTTCTGATGATTCATCTAATCAAAATTTTGAATCAGTTCATTTTGAATCAGATAATTCATTGCTTTTAGTCGTCGGTTCTTAAGTGGTTTTTTTTCCATTCTTGAACAGAGAAATGGAATATACAGAGGGGAAGAAAGATCAGAACACCAAGACCCCTAGGTTTACCACTTTCAAGAGAATGCGAATACACTTCCGAACATCGAAGTATAACGTGAAGTGTGCTTTTCAGCCAATGTTCCAGTTTCCAATGGATACATGGAGCAAGAGAGAGAGAGAGAGAGGGGGGTGAGAGAAATATAGGCAAACGAAAATTCAGCGAATTAACAACTGTGAGAAAGCAAAAGTTTTTCTCGTTTTGCTTTACGATTGTGTGAGTCCATGAAAATAAGTATGCAGTGTTTTGGCCATTCGCTTCTGGCGATTTTCATACCATTCCATCGATGCTTCCCATTGTTTTCAATAATTCCGATCCAATTCCCTATCTCTTGCTTCCTCTCTCTCTCTCTCTCTCTCTCTCTCTCTCTCTCTCTCACTAACACACACACAAACACATAAACCAGAACCTGAACGTGTGTGCATCAATCGTGCATGATTGGAGATTCCGTTTGCGTATTACAAATTTTATTACACTTATGATGAGCACTTCCAATAGACTTATGCCAACGAAATGCTGTGTTTTTGATATAGATAGCGAGTACATGCTTGCTTACAGCTGCTTTTTATAGCTATATAAACGAAACGAATATATATTCTTTTCTTATTTTTGTCTGTTGTTTTTCTTCTTCTTCTTCTTCTTCTTTTTTACTTTCGTTCGTTCGTTTTTATTTTCAATATTATGTGTGTGTGTGTGTGTGCAATTTTAACTTTTCCAATATTGTGAGAATCCGACAAACGATTACGTGTCGTTATTTACGACATCATATTTGCCATATTCATAAAATTGTCCAATTGACACCAAAAAATCCACAATCATGATGAGCACACACCGAGAGAGAGAGAGAGAGAGAGAGAGAGAGAGAGAGAGAAAGAGAATAAAATGTCGGACGCTGATTTCTCTCCCAAAAATATTACACATTGTGTATGTGTGCGAATGCAGTTGTTGAGTTTTTCAATGATGAGAATAGCAGCAATCAAGTAACCTAGAAAAAAAAGAATAAAGATGAAGCGGGTAAAAATGTAGAAGAGTATTGAAAATATTCCGTTTGAAAGAAGAAAAAAAAATACTGGAAAGAAGAGTAGAAAAAAATTGAATGGAATTAGAGCCGACGAAATATGACGAAATCAAAGTGCCCGAAAATCGATCGAATAATGTTGATGGAACATTTGAAATCTATGTCGTTTCAGAACGACAATTTTTCCATCATCCATGCCATTTCCCTTTTTTGCATACACACACACACACACACACACACACATACGCACACACATACGCACACACCAACCCAGGCGACAAAAACATTATGTGTGCTGCTCGTTGTCGGCCACATCTATCAAGTGTTATCAAATGATTGGAGTTCTTTTTCTTATTCGCACTCGGTTTGGTTGTTGCTTGATGTTGCTTTCGCTGCTTCTTCTGGTGTTGCCACTATATCTCAGCGTTCTTATGCTTAATCTAATTGTTTTTGAGTCGATGCTGTGTGTGACCTCGAACAAAGTGATGATTAGAAGGGAAAAGAGAAAACTCGAATTCGATTTATCTGTGATTCGCACGTGTATGTGTGTATGTGTGTGCGTGCTTGTATATGTGCTCAATGTTCATTTGGGCTGTGCGGGGTGAATGTTTGCGGATTTAACTGAATTGAACGCTCTGCTTTTGGTTGCTGATAAAATTGCAGTTTTCCTTCATCAAATTGTGGTGGCGGATATGGTTTGATGCCAGAATATGTATGGTGGGTGTATAAATGCGACAACATCTAGATTCATTTGGCACGCATACGAATATAAAACCAGTTTAAAAACTATTATTTATATCGATCGATATTTGTTTTCTTGTCACTATTTTTGTCTTTTTGCTCGGTCGCTTCAACATTTCTTACATATATTTTAGTTCATCTTCGTTGGATTTTTTTCTCTTCTCTTTTTCCCTTGTCCTTGTATTGTCTTTATATTATTATTTTTTTCTTGCCATTTGCTCTGGATTTCTTTTGGTGTTCGCTTCGTTTCGTTTTATGCATTAAAGTTGGTTGTTGCCAATTTCTCGCTTCGTTTGTTTATCGCTACTTGAGGTTTCAGCTCTACCAGCAGTATTTCCCTCTCTCTCTCTCTCTCTCTCTCTCTCTCTCTCTCTTTTTCTCTCGCTATGCGATGGAAATATATGGTTTGCGCCAGTGTCGCAAAGTTTTTCGATGCGAGGCGACAATGGCGCTAAACAAATCACCCATACATGCAATGCTCACTGACTTGCACGCATTCGCTCCGATTATCGCACCATCTTATCGCATAAAACATTGAGTGTGTATGTATGTATTTGTTGTCTAAGTGTGCGTGTCTAAATCTGTATCACGTTTCTCTTTCCCCGCACTTCAATGGCTTTACGATACCGAAAAACCAAAACGATGCTTTACTTTTTCTTCTTCGACTTCTTCTGCTGCAACGCGCATACACTTTACTTATTCGATTCTCGTTGTTTATCTAGAAATCCAGCCACTTGAACTGAATGTATTTCGAAAATTACAGATTCTTTTCCAATAAATATGCGATTTAATAGTCAAGCATCCAATTCGGTCGGTGTACTCGAAAATCACAAACCATAACAACAACGACGACGACAACAGCACTGAAATGGAAATTTCTACACAATATCTGCATTGTCGAGACCACAATTAAATCTGTTACAAATCGAAAATATCAACCACACTTTCCAAGTCGACTAAATTTTCAAATCAAAGTAATCAAATCTATGTTAAAACGTTTCATGATTTTCTATGGTATTCATTTTGATCATTTTCAACATATTGATTTGATCTTTGTGGAAAATGTCGGTAAAACTATTTTAATGCTTCTAATCAATATCGAATGTGTTTCGTGTGTAATTTTCAGTGGTGGAGCACACATAAGGAATGGTGTCGTTGTGTTTCCTTGAAAATGATTCATCGTTTGCTCCCACATTTCGAAATTTGTTCGTCGAAACATACAATCTCATACAACTCTATCTTTCTTCCTCTCGCTCGCTCTCTGATTTTCGAAATGGTGTAAGCGCACCAACGATGGAATATGGTGATTGTTTAGCTTATATAGATATATATATATCTATTCACATCCAAGCACCACCAACGGTGATGAGTGTGTATCTACCCAGAATATAGACGAAAAGATACACAACGCAAATATCTTCCGTTGGGTACGTGCGGTCATAAAATCAAATGAGTTTATTGTAACAATTTCAGTCATTTGGGAACGATTGCTCGATGCTTGAACACTTTATTCTTTATGGTTCGCATAATCATTTTGACTAATATATTTTAGATATATTTATGCGTGCGAACTGGGTGCGAATGTGTGTGTGTGTGTTCATGTTTGTGTGTTGATCGGCACTGAATGATGCGAAGCGGATATGACACAATGCGTAACATTTGCGCTTGTTTGCTTAGCTTCCATTAGAAGAAGACGAAAAAGGGAAAAAAAACGATGAAGAAAATCAATTTCCAAAAGAAAAAGCTATTTGATCAATCACTTTGAAAATCGATATTTTTACTTTTCGATGCATAGAGACAAGTGAAGTTTTTATTTATAGAAAGTGGTGTTCCATCAACAGACGCGCACGGCCACATTCGGTGGGTGGGCGAGAGGCAGAGACAGAGGGGGGAACGAGATCCCATTTTCCAAAGCATTTTGTTGAAATGCATAGGTCAAGCATTTGCTGTTCATGCTTGCAAAAGATAGCGATTTTCCTCATTGGTTTCGGTTTGCGTTTGGGTTTAGCTTGTTATTTATCTTTTTTTTTCTGCAAGCATCGACACCATTTGTTGATTTATAAACAAGCCAAACAAGCACCAAAATTGTATTCATACCACCGCAAAAATATTGCGTTGCTATAATGACGGGCGATTATGAGTGGCACTGGCAGCCTACACTATATTCAGCTTTGGCAAAACTATCAGTAAATTTGCAATATGATGGTGCCTTCATTTGGATTTCAAATCCGATATATATTTTTGCGAGGGCCGAAGCACTTTGGAAAACTGTTTTTCGTTACTCACTCTACTCGCTGCAATGTGGAGTGTGCAAAAATGCTTCCAACTTTCAATCCAAATTGGTTAAATCATTTCGTTCGCCTTAGCGTTTGGTTGTTTGTGTGCAATTGAGCGAGTGAGTGAGTGAGTGTATGGGTATGGTCGTTGTTATTTTTTCCGTACTCTCTTCATTCACGATAAAACTGGAGCGAACGATTTAGAAAATTTCAAACAAAAATGTTTATTAACACAGTAATTTGCTTTTGAAGTATTTGAACAGAGCTTTTTTCCGTTGTTGTCATCGCCGTCGAGAGAGAAAGAGAGAGAGAGAGAGAGAGAGAAAGAGAGAGACAGAGTGGGAGTGAGAAAAAGTTTGTTTTGTTGATTTTCATATTTATGTGGATGTGCGTACAATGTGCCCACAACAATGGTAGTCGTCAAACGTTTAAATACAATATGCATTTAGCCCAGTGTCTCTCTCGCTTTCGCTCAATATACCCATGCCCATACCATTTTTCCACTTGAGATTGTGCACTGTGCGAGTGTGAGAGTTTATTCTTTTTTTGTCGTCTCCGTATTTTTCTTTTTCATATAATCATTTGCATTATTATGCGAATGGAGCGCCAAACGAATGGGAGAAGATACCGGTAATAGAGAAACCAAACGAAAA